TTGTTTGTTTTGGCTTTTCAAGGAAGGGTTTCTCTGTAGCTTTGGAGCCTGTCCTGGAACTAGCTCTTGTAAATCAGGCTGGCTTCAAACTCAGAGATTCACTTGCCTCTGCCTCCCATGTTCTGGGATTAAAAGCATGTGCCACCACTGTCTGACAGCATTTAGTTCTTAATCAACATCTGAAGTATGAAATGAGTATGAAATAGGAATTTCCCACAGATGTATTTTTCTGTATCAAGAATAAATATGTGTAAAAGAAACCCTGGGAAATCTTTGACTAGCTAGTCCTTCAGACAAAATTGTCATTCTTCTTCAAACATGGCTCATGAATAACATAGGAGACAAGATCGCAGAATTTTCTTTTTTTTCTTTTATTGTTTTTATTGAGCTATATATTTTTCTCTGTTCCCCTCCCTTTCGGCCCTCTCCTATGATCCCCATGTTCCCAATTTACTCAGGAGATCTTGTCTACCCATGCAGATTAGATCATGTATGTTTCTCTTGGGGGTCCTCTTTGTTGTCTAGGTTCTCTGGGATTATGAATTGTAGGCTGGGTTTTCTTTGTTTTATGTCTAAAAGCCACTTATGAGTGAATACATTCTATACTTGCTTTTCTAGGTCTGGGTTACCTCACTCAATATGTTGTTTTCTAGATCTATCCATTTGCCCGCAAATTTCAAGATGTCATTATTTTTCTTCTGTGTAGTACTCCATTGTGTAAATGTGTATATGTACATCTTCTGCATCCATTCTTTGGTCAAGGGGACTTTAGGTTGTTTCCAGGTTCTGGCTATGACAAGCAATGCTGCTGTAAACATAGTTGAACACATGTCCTTGTGGTACAAATGAGCATCCTTTTGATATATACCCAAAAGTGATTGCTGGGTCTTAAGGTAGGTTGTTTCCTAATTTTTTGAGAAATTGCCATACTGATTTCTAAAGTTACTGTACCAGTTTGTACTCCCACCAGCAATGCAGGAGTGTTCTCTTTACCCCACATCCTCTCCATCATAAGCTGTCATCAGTGTTTTTGATCTTGGTCATTCTTACAGGTGTAAGATGGAATCTTAGAGTTGTTTTTATTTGAGTTTCTCTGATAGCTAAGGATGTTGAGCATTTCTTTAAGTGTCTTTTTAGCCATTTTATGTTCATCTGTTGAGAGTTCTCTGTTTAGGCCCGTACCCCAATTTTTATTAGATTATTTGTTCTTTGATGACCAATTTCTTTTTTATTGCTTTATAAATAACACCATTCAAAATTTCCACTTCCTCCCAATTCCCTCCTGCTCCCCCACTCACCCTCCCCACTTCCCCCCCAGTCCTAAGAGAGGGCAGGGTATCCTGCCCTGTGGGAAGTCCAAGGCCCTCCCCACTCCATCCAGGTCTAGGAGAATGTGCATCCAGACTAGGATCCTAAAAAGCAAGTACATGCAGTAGAGACAAATCCTAGTGCCATTATCATTGGCTTCTCAGTTAGCCCCAATTGTCAGCCACATTCAGAGAGTTGATGACCAATTTCTTGAGTTCTTTGTATATTTTGGAGATCAGACCTCTATTTGATGTGGGGATGATGAAGATATTTTCCCATCCTGTAGGCTGCTGTTTTGTCTTGTTGACCGTGTCCTTTGCTTTACAGAAGCTTATCAGTTTCAGGAGGTTCATTTATTAATTGTTGCTCTGAGTGTCTGTGTATGTCACTTACCAAAATTAAATAAAGGTCAGAGAAGCAAATTAAACAGACCTATTACTACTGCTAAAGAAACAGAAACAGTCATCAAAAGTCTCCCAACCAAAAAAAGCTCAGGACCAGATGGTTTTAGCACAGAATTCTACAAGTTTTTTAAAGAATAACTAATACCAATTCTCCTCAAATTGTTTCACACAACAGAAACAGAAGGAACATTGCCAAGCTCTTTTTACAAGGCTACAATTTACCCTGATACCCAAATTGCACAAAGACATTATAAGAAAGAGAATTACAGACCAATCTCACTCATGAACATTGATGCAAAAAATACTCAATAAAATACTAAAACACAGAATCCAAGAACACATTAGAAAAATCATCCACCATGACCAAGTAGGCTTCATCACAGAGATACAAGATGGTTCAACATTTGAAAATCTGTCAATATAGTCCACCATATAAACAAACTAAAAACAACACATTAAATTCTGAGAAAGACTTTGACAAAATACATTTCTTTGTGATAAAGTTCTTGGAGAAAGGAGGGATACAAGGAACATGCCCAAACATAATAAAGGCAACGTAAGCAAGCCAACATCAAACTAAATGGAGAGAAACTCAATGTGATCCCACTGAAATCAAGAACAAGACAAGGTTGCCCGCCCTCTCCAAATCTATTCAATATAGTACTTGACATTCTAGCTAGAGTAATAAGACAACAAAGGAGATCAAGGGGATACAAATTGGAAAAGAAGTCAAACTCATTATTTGCTGATGGTATCATAGTTTACATAAGTGACCCCAAAAATTCTATCAAGGAAGTTTTACAACCACTAACGAGGAATTGACTCCATTAGATGGGACTCTGGGGTATTTTCTTGAATGCTAACTGATGGAGAAGGCCTTAAGGGACTGTGGGTGGTACCACCCCTCATCATGCAGTCTCAGGTTATATAAAGTAACTGAATGTGAACTTGGAAGCGAGCCAGTGAACAATGTCCCTCCATGGTCCCTGCTTCAGTTCCTGCCTCTAACTTCCTGACTTGGTTTTCCTTGATGAGGGAATGACAGACTATAACCTGTAAGCCAAATAAACCTCTTCGTCTTCCAAGTTACTTTTTTTTTTTTTTTTTTTTTTTTGTTTTTGTTTTTCGAGACAGGGTTTCTCTGTGGCTTTGGAGCCTGTCCTGGAACTAGCTCTCTAGACCAGGCTGGTCTCGAACTCACAGAGATCCGCCTGCCTCTGCCTCCCGAGTGCTGGGATTAAAGGCGTGCACCACCATCGCCCGGCTATTCCAAGTTACTTTTGATCAGGATCTTATGCAGCACTAGGAAGCAAACTAGGGCAGTAGGCTCATAACCGAAACACATTCTTAGGGGAACAAGAAAAGTTTGAAGAGATGTGTAGTGTTGCATCAACACAAGTGCAGGTCCATCCAAAGTGAGTTAGATTCCAAGAAAACATTGGATTAGAACAGTACAATGAGAGGTTGAAGTTGGGCTTGGGGGTTGGGGTGGCGAGCAGATGATGAGTTTTGGGTTGAGCAACTTCAGACTAACTTGTGGGAACTGGCTGACAATCAGAAATCCAGTGGTGAGGGAAGTAGTTCAGAGGTGAAAGAGCCAAGGAAGAGATATATCAAGAAAAATAGATCATGGAATATTTCAAAGAGACCAAAAAAAAGAAAGGAGGGAAGGAAGAAAGGAAGAAAGACATTTTTTGTTAGAAAGACATTGGCGGCCTTTTAACATGACCTTGGTAGAGACAGTAAGTTAGGAAGCAGGAGATGGAATGAAAAAGAAGGGAAAGGATGGAAGACCTGAGGTGCTGGGAGTGCCATAGGAAGTTCAAGCAGAATCACAGAGGCCATGGTAGAGGTCAAGGAAGCAGCAAGGCCAAGGGTAACAGTGCATGTGTGTAGGCAGGAGCCCAGAGGAGAGAGACAGGAAAGTCCAGAGGGGGCTGAATATAAAATGAGAGGGAACATGGCAAGTGCAGTACAGAGGAGAGCCTTGTAGAGCCCGAGCTGAGAGACCAAAGGGCTGGAAGCCATACTGAGCTCTCCTTTGTACTAAAGAGGTCAGGTTATCCACCTGCTAGAGGTGGGCACTTATTAGACTGAAGAATAATGACATCAGGGCAGAAAAAAAGATCCTGTGTCATAAGATCCAGAAAGACAAGCATAAAGGAGTTTAGCCCATCAATAGTTACAATGGTGGCATCAAACACGTTCTGATCACACCCCCCAGAAAACCCTCTGGTTCTTTTGCTGTTTTGTGGAGTGCTGCTGCAGTCAGGCACTGCAAATGTTCAAAAGATCCCAAGCCCCTTTGATCGTTACCTTTCCTTCAGGAACAATGGTGCCGAGCTGCTGAGAGAACTCCAGTACAAACAGCATTATTTGTATTAGAAGTGCCCGAAAGCAAAAGTTGAAGGTTCACACAGTAGGTATTTATGTCGAGATAAGCACATCCTACAACCTAGTGAATGGAGAAGATGGCCATCACTTCTATGAATAAGCCTGGTCTCCACTGAAAATATCAATTATAAAACCCATCCTCCCAAACTTGACCACACTCTCCCTCCATGTCCCACCCTAAATTGTAAAGGGCAGGTAAGAGAACTTCTAAAGATGCCTTTATCTGTTTCAAACTTTATTTGGGCATCTGGTTGGGAGGGATAGAAGACAGAGGATGTCCTGGAATAGGTAGGTGTCCTTCCCCAAGGCAAAAAGGGCAAGAGTGACAGGAGTGGCAGCAGGGAGCAGAAAAGCTGGCCTCTGTGCTCCTTCAGCAGTTTCAGGCTAGAGGGGCCCCTGGGTTGTGGAGACTGGAGCCGCCTGCTCTTGAAAGGAGAGGAAGTGTATTTGGCGGGAGAGGGCACAGTGCTGCTGACTGGGCATCTTGGCTTTGGAGTCTTCCTATTCGCATTAGCCTGTCTTGTGCCAGCGGCTGAAACAGGGCTGCGGCAGGAGGCGGGTGTTGGCCAAGAGCGCTGACCCTTTGGCCCAGCGCTGGGAGAAGAGTTAGGGGGAGCCCTGGGTACAGACCAGGGCTAACCTGATCTTGCTCCAGTCCACCAATCCTTAACGGATTTTCTTTCTCTCCCTTCACCCTTTTCTCTGCTTTCTTTCTCTCATTCTTTCTCTACCTCTTTTTACCCTTTTCCCTCTCTTCCCCACCCTCCCTACCCCTTCCCCTCCTCTCCCCTCCCCCTCCCCTCCCCTTTTCTATGTGTGTGAGCCTCCTCCTTTCCCCTCCTCCCCCTTTCCGCCTCTCTCCCTCCCCCTCTCTCCATCTCCTTCTCCTCTCAGCTCGCCGGGCGACCCTGCTCCTGCCTCCCACATTAATGGCGGCTTCTTCGGAGGATGACATAGACCGGCGGCCCATCAGAAGAGTCCGCTCCAAGAGCGACACGCCATATCTCGCAGAGGCCAGGATCTCCTTTAACCTGGGGGCAGGTAAGGACGCCCCTCGCCTTCGTCTGGGTGTCTGGCACCTGCTTCCTTCCCTCCCTTCCTCCTGGGCCAGATCAGCCCCCGCCCCTCCCTGGTGCCCCCTCCCTGCGCCCTCCTGCCCCGAGGGCGCCCCGCTCTCACACTCGCTCCCTTTGTGTCGCCCGCGTGGAGAAGGCGTAGGTGTATGTGTGTATTGCAGAGGTGGGGGAGGGTAGCGCGTAGAGCCTTACACCCAACCAGTGACACCCACGCGGGCTTTCCCCTTCCAGAAAGAAAAGAAAGTGTCAGTGGTAACAATGACCCCAAGAATCACCAGCAGGGTGGGGATGCCGTGCCGCTGTGGGCGGAGGGGATGGCAGGACTTCCTGGGTGAGGCTGTCGCTGGCGGGGTTACTACAGGGTGGAACTTGTTGGTGACATTCAGTCGCGGGTGATTTTGTCTAGAGGGGGTCATCTTACTGATCCGGGGAGGGGGCGGGGCTGACCGGGAACAGTGGCTGGAAAGCCAAGTTGGTGGTAAGGATGAGAGTGTGGTCCACAACAAGCGGTTGGGTGATCCCTTGCGTTCCAAGTGGCCCAGATAGAATTAAGTGAAGGTGAATGGGAGAGGAGAAAAGAGAGGACCAAGGGAAGATGAGGAAGGAAGAGGAGAGGGAAAAGTGAGAGAAGGGGGAGGGGGAAGGGGAAAGAGTAAATGAAGGGGACAGAAAGATCCAGTTACTATGCTTCAGGTGTGTGACTTAGGCACCCAGGGTCACCTAATGAGAAACATCAGTCTGTCCTTTTCCTGCTGCTGCTTCAAACTCAGAGGAGTTGCTCTCTCTGAAGTTTTCACCACTAACTTTACAGAACACTTCTTTTGAATGGCTCCTAACCCTCAGCCTGACCTTGTTTCTTCCTCTCCAGGCTGTCTTAAAGGGTGGGGGTGTTTCCCTTAAGGTTCAATCAATTTCAAAATAAGTTTTAAAAAGCAGACAACACTTTTTTTTACAAAAATTAAGAACTGAATTGGTGTGTGTGTGTGTGTGTGTGTGTGTGTGTGTGTGTGTATACACTCTTGTGTGCCGGAGCGGAGAAGAGTTTAGACACAAGACTGTTGCTTGAAGAAAAAGATTGACTCACTGAGTAAAAAACTTTTTAATGGCAAAAGGCGGGTGGGGGGAGAGGGGGGGTCAGGGATTGACTGGGCCAGAGTAACCAAGTATGTTTTCTTCTTAATGATTTGGCTCTTTAAACAATGTGTGTGGTCACTTCCTAAATGGTTGCCTCTACATTGAAATTGGAGGGGAGAGACCTTCGTTGTGGAGTTTTGGTCACTGTGGCCTGCTGTAGTAGTTTGTGGGGCTCTTGTGAGAAGCCCTGCTTGCATCTTCCAGGTCCGGCACATGTTTTTAGAGGCCTTCCAAAGAACTGGAAAGTGGTCCTTTTAGGACTAATCTTGTTCTCTCAGGCTGAAGATATTAGGACTTTTTGGTGTTTTCAACTTAGTAGAAAAGAAAATGAACTAAAGTACAGTTAGTAAAGATTGTTTGCCTTCCTAGTAGTGCTATAACAAAGTAATAAAATAAATCACTAAAGAAGGGTATCAAGTTTCGCTACTATTCAATTACACTGAACCACAGATTCAAACCAATGACTTCATCTTTTATTCTGGTTAAATTGCTCTGGAGTCCAACTGAAAGATTGGTTCAGACAGATCAAGCCTTCCATTTCATTTGGAAATAAGGAAGCCAAACATGGACCTAGTCCCTCCTGTGTCTCCCTACATGCACCACTAATGGCAGTGACAGGACCAACACCATTTAGGGAAAATGCTAAAGGACAAGATGACATGGGCAGCCACAGCTCTGTAAGGAGGGCTGAGGAGCTGTCCTCACGTCCTGGTGCTGAAGTGAAGGATGGGGAGGCAGAGACCTGACTGCATGAGGGACAGCAAGCAGTGAAGGGGGTTCCTGGGATTTCTCTGATGGCATCCTGGGAAAATATATTCTCCAAGACATTTCTATTCCTTACAGCCCTACACACACACACACACACACACACACACACACACACACACTGCTGCCTGTTTGTTGTGTCTCGTGTCTGATGCTCCATGCTCGGATGGGACGGTTTTTCCCTCCCTCTCTCTAATGTTACACTGCCTGCTCACTCCTGGGGCTTCCTTACTTTCCAGCTGGTTTCTGGTTGCTTTCTTAACAGAATAGATGCACTCACAGATGTGCCTTTCAACCACATTTAAAAGTAATTGTAACCCCTGATTTAAAGGAAGAGACAAAGCAAACAGCCTTGTTTATCTCCTTAAGCAGAAAGCTGTAATTAAGCTATTAGTGTCGTTATCAGGGCTGCTGAACAGGGGAGCCTGCACATTCCCAATAAATTGTATAATCTTGCATAGCATGAATTTCGTTTGCCTCTTAGCAGCAGTTTATAAATGAGTCAGGCAAGCACAACTCTTTCCCCCAAACACAAAGTTTTTCTTTGTTATTTCTGAATAAATTCTCATCCTTTTAAAGTACTTCTGTCAAATATTTGCCCAAACCCACTAACTGTGTACAAGTCCATCCTTACACATTTTGCAATGGCTGAAGAAGATGCAAACACATGTATTTATTTTTCTTGATGATCATGAAATCATTTTGGGTACAAATTCCTTCCACTAACCCATATAACTGCTGAATAAAGAGGACTGAATATTTTTAAAACTAATCAAATATTTTAGCATTTTTTCAACTATACCCTGTCCCTAACAGAACTTAAGAATATCATTTGGAAACCAGCCCAAGGTTGAGTATAGTCTATACTTCTATACATATACCCTCACAATTATCAGATAGTATGACTCTTTCACAGCTATGTGGGAATGCCAACCTCCATTGCATCTAGACTGAGAGAGAACAGAAATTTTCTGATCCATGGACTTTATTTAGCTCAAATAGCCCCTTTCTGGGTTTTAGACTACATTTCAAAGCTACAAATATGGATGGATACTTGGGAAGATAATGTCAATGCTAAAGAAATTGAAGACAATGTGTTTATTGTAAGGTATCTAGACACCAGGTCTCATGTAGGACAGTGGGAGTGGGTTGCTTATTTCCCCAAAAACATTCAAATGTGTTGAAAGGATATTCTGTAACAGGAGAGTAGATTCATACTGCCAGCAGCAGAAATGAACATCACTAACATTTACCTTGAGAGAATTTATCTTCTTGCCTTATTAAATCATTCACTCGCTGAATTAAAGAGACAGGTATCTTTCTTATGCTCTCCACTTATCTGTATATTACATGACATAGAGTATTTGGTCATTCGGTATATAAGTGGCACTTGCAATGAAGTTTTATATAATTATGCATTGAAGTGATTGAAGGCAGTATGGGATGGAAAAGAATTAAAGCATGTATAAAATATCTAAAAGAGATATCAAGAACAAAATTCTAACTTCTTCCTGGTTAATTTCAGACCATGTAACCTACTCCCCCACATAAGAAGATACATTCTGTGTGTGTGTGTGTGTGTGTGTGTGTGTGTTTTACACACTTGCATATATATGTGTGGGTGCATGTGAAGAGGCCAGAGGACATTGCATGATGTCATCATCACTATCTTAGTCCTTTAAGATGGGATTAGTGGATCTAAGCTTGTAGCCACCCAGCCCCAAGATCATCTAGCCACTCCCCACCCCACAGCTTTGGTCTTACAGGTGTATGTGAACCTTGCTTCTTATCTGGGTGCTCATATGAACTCAGGCTTTGTGCTTGTGCGGAGTGATCTCTTTTTCTCCAGTCTCAGGAGGCGAGCTCTTCTTTGACACTTCAGGATTGCTTTGTATCTCTGGATATTTTAGGTGAATAGCATGCTCAACCTTCAGCGTGCTTATATTCTTCACAAGACCAGGCTCTGCTTTTGTTCCCAGTCATACTGAACGATAAGCATTTCTGACTTCTACCAGTCTTTTCTACTTCTTCAGGCCCACAGGGTAAAAGGCATCATAACTGGCTTAGTTTGGGATACCTTAAGAGTGAATGGGTCAGCTACACCTAAGACTTTTAACCTCTTCTTCATAATTAAAGTTAAATACTATGAAAAAATGTATGTTTTCCTTTTATCTTTCTAGATGACCGGGGCAGGTAAATCTAGGCACAAACAAGCCACATGGCAGGCACACCTTGAATATAAAATTTTGAAATCCACACGGAGTGATACTTCTAGGCATTTTCCTGGCCACGAACTACAAGGCATCATTCTTTTCTCCACTGACACATGGGTGGTCAGAAACAAATGAGCTATTGGTTGTAATACAGCAGTTGTATATTGATGCTTTTTTTTGTACAAATACCCTTTATTACTAAAGCAAACCATTTTTCAGACTGGCTTGTAGAGTTACTCTTTGCTCTATACAACTTCATTTTGTGCACTGTTTAGTGTTCATATGAAGTAGTTAAAATCTAGCATGCTTAATTTTTAAGTGGAAACTAAAGATAATTTATAAGACTAACATTTTCTTTCCTCAACTTAATGAAGTAAAATGGAAACAAACGGTACAGCCCAGTGTGTTATGCGAGCAAAGTCAGACCCGAGGAAAACAACTGGTGCCAGGTGCCATTCAGTGTAGGAGACAAAGGAGACTCCGGTGTCATCATGGTTTGTGTCATCACATGCCCAGCCATTTTGGGGAGTGGCTGTGACTTCTAGAGAGGAACAGTACTATGTTGACATATAGACTTCTTTAGTGCTAGTGCGTAAGTCTTTAACATAACAAAGGCTAGTTAAAGAAATATGATATCAATTTTATACTCTTATCCAATAATAGTGGACTTGTACAACTTACTACATGGGTTTCCAAAGCCAACAGGAATGATCTCACAATAGTACCTCTTTATGTATCTGAATGAATGTGCTGTGTAAAGCTTGTAAGATTCCTATTGAACTTCTCCTGCCCCATTTATATACCCCAAACTACTAATCAGCAGCAGAATCTCTGATGATAAAATAGCTGGGTT